GAGAAAGCAGAATGCTAGAATGCAGAAACCTGGGATGGATTCTGCACAGCTCTCCTCATGTTCTCCCATCCACCTCTGCACACTGTTCTTCCTTGTGCCCGGACTTACACCTCCTTCAGTCCGCTTCTATAGCCAACTGGAATTTGCGCCTCCCTTCCAGGACTTGATCCAAAACTTCTACCCTCTTCTGCCTCAGTTCAAAGTTCTATGAATTTCTGAGAAGGTATACTAAGAACTCAATGTTAACAGAAGGTTGAGATTTAATGACCCGGTTTATCTATTTATTTGAAGCTTTTGCACCGTGTCCTATACATTTAAGTCTTAGGATGGTCCAACAACAAAGGCGCAGCATAACATCTATGATAAAAGCCCAAATAAAATATGAACTGAATCCAAAGGTAATGGGAAAAAAGGAATGGTTTTGGCCTGAATAGGGCAAACAAGTGTGGATCAGGGCGAATTCTGCCTGCCTGCTTGGTGGGAAAGACCAAGCGTCCGGACCACCTGAGGCTTTATTGTATTACCCAGGTTCCCCGCAGCTCCATACTCACAATAATGCATGCATTACCAGGCAGGCAGAGTGAACTCTGCTGCAAATTTTCGATACCATTACAGGGCATTTATAGGTACACAGGTACAGGGCAATTGATGACAGAGTGCAGAGATTACAATAAGATTCTGAGGTCATCACATACAGAACAGGTAAAGAAATGTCAGTCAATCACACTGTAACAATGAGATTACAATATTTCTAATTGCCTGTATTGACACTTTCGTTCAGTAGCTTGAACCCATCTCCAGGTCTGCTCAGACATGCAAATTCAAGCTACTAGAAACTATTCATGATAAGCTCAGACCCCCATCTCGACTCTAAACATTTTGCATGATCAGGGCACATGAAGCCCTCCGGGCTATCAAAAGATTATTGTAAACTGAATTGCAACAATGCCTATTTACAATGTATATTCGGGCTAAAATGGCCTGTCTACTGTAGCCCACAGCTAAAGCTGAGAGAAAGGAATGGGGGAATGCCATTTTAAACAGTGACAGCTTGGTTTTGAGAAGAATTTGATCCCACAACGCAAAGACACACAGGAGTAATGCTCTTCAGGCGGGGTTTATCCACATTTTCCCAACAACAGCCAGAGGATTGCCATCTCCGAAGAGGCACATAAGCTGAGCA